GGAGGGAGAATTTCCTTTAAAGGAGAAGTATGAGGGGGGGGTGATTTTCACTTAGCCTCATAATCTGGGCCGACCTGTGACAATGAGACTGTCACAGGTCGGCTCATTAGATCGGGAGGTGAGCGAACACATACCGGCGCTCGCTCACTTCTCGATCCTGTCACTGCACACAGAGCCGTGACAGGGGAGGGACTGGATTCCCCGCTCCGATCCTCCAGCGCTGACTGGGGGAACGGACGGGGGAGGGTACAGCTGGCTCTGCCTCTAGATAGGCGGATCCAGCTGTCACTCACGCAGCTGGGCGGATCCAGACATAATTGTCGGGATGCGCTCCGGCTGCGGCGTCTCAGTATACCACGAGCTGTAGCTCCCTATATACTGAGCCTAGGGTGACGGGAGGACGCTAGTTTGTGTCCTCCCGTTACCCTGAGGAGAACTATGAGGAAAAGCCCTCACCCCATAGTTCTCCTTTAATTATAAAGATAATGTCTTCTTCCAATGCCTACTATGAGTACTTCACCCTCATCATCCAGATTTCAGCCCTCCAAATCCCTGATGACGGGGAGCCCTTCAGACCCCCCAAAGTACATTTGCACTTAGTACTTGCAGCTATCAATAAAACTGATCCGGACAAATGCTGCCAGAGTGGAACTTTCCTTCAAGCAACTTGTTTAGGGTCCTGTACATGAGAGCGCTGCCTGCGGAACTGTCAGGACCCCAATACAAGCGGGAAGGTCGAATGCTGCTCACTTCCACCGTACTTCATTCCTCTGCAAGTCACATACACGTGGGAAGAATACACACACACACTTTGGTGGGACTGAACACAGAGCCCCCGGCTCTGTAAGAATACTAACCTGTTATCCAACGCGCTGTTCTTCACACCCACGCGTGTCTTTGCAGGTGGAAGCCGAGCTGATCGATAAACTGGACACGCTGGTCTCGGAGGGGAAAGGCGATGAGAACTATCGGGAACTTTTCAGCCTTCTGTAAGTCCCAAATTTTCGCTGCTGGAGACAGAAATTCTCATATATAGGTTGGGGGATGAGAAAGTCCAGGCAATACTGCAGCACCGTGAAAGTCCACTCAATTCCCCTTAAAGGAGGACTATGAGGGGGGGGAGTGGGGGTGCTTTTCACTCACCTCATAGTTCTAGCCGACCTGTGACCAATGAGACTGTCACAGGTCGGCTCAGTAGATCGGGAAGTGAGCGAACACATACCGGCGTTCGCTCACCTCTCGATCCTGTCACAGCTCTCTGCCGTGACAGGGGGAGGGGCTGGATTCTGACTGGCGGAACGGACGGGGGAGGGGGCGGGTACAGCTGGCTCTGCCTCTAGATAGGCAGCTGTCACTCACGCAGCTGGGCGGATCCCGTCGTCTAAGTCGGGATCCGCTTCAGCTGCGGCGTCTCTGTATACCGCGAGCTGTAGCTCCCTATATACTGAGCTTAGGGTGACGGGAGGACGCTAGTTTGTGTACTCCCGTTACCCTAAGGAGAACTATGGGGGAAAACACTGACCTCATAGTTCTCCTTTAAGCCAAAACAGCCCAATGTTTCCATGATCCCTTGTAGCAGATTGAGGAGGGCTTTGAGAGGGCCTTCGGGGGACACCGCAGCTGCCTTATGTATATATGAATTTCAAGCAGCGCAGGGCATGTGATCACCAACTACACTGTACATGCAGCGTGCCGTGTCCTGAACATGTCTCCATGTATGAGCGCAGCTGTTTTCCTCACACTGTTGCATCGTGTATCCGCTCAGCATTGCTTCCCATAGAACCGATGATATTATGTGGCCGTAGAATGGCCGTGATTGCTCTCAGATTGTCTTCTCTCTGTATTTCTGCTTCCAACCCGGAGCAGCTCGCAGCTGTTTGGTCCGTATCCCAGGTAAGGGAGAGAATGATTGTGTGCTGATGATTATTGCATGCCGATATGTGTCAGTGTTTCCTTCACTGCTGTTGGGGAAGATCCAACCGGACATGATGAGAGTTGCAGTTCCCTGGCAGGTGAAGGGTTAGAGGTCATTCATAGCTGATACATGTGTATAGATCCCCCCCCCCACCCCCCGATATCTCATGTCTGGGGGATATTTATATATTTCTTAATTATTCATTTACATTTTTAGTCCAAATACAAATACTGCACTCTGCTAGGAAAGCTGCACCCCTTCCATCAGTGTGTCTACAGCACTCCCAACCCTAATCATCCCCCCACCACCTCTCCTCTTCTTTTCTCCTCTCTTCTCTCTCTCTGCCCATCTTTTCCTTCCCTCTCAGTTCTCCCCAGTTCATTGTTACAATGTGTCCTTCCTCGGTCTCTCCTTCCTCGGTCTCTCCTTCCTCTGACTCTCCTTCCTCGGTCTCTCCTTCCTCTGTCTCTCCTTCCTCTGTCTCTCCTTCCTGGTTCTCTCCTTCCTCGGTCTCTCCTTCCTCGGTCTCTCCTTCCTGGGTCTCTCCTTCCTCTGTCTCTCCTTCCTCGGTACTCTCCTTCCTCGGTACTCTCCTTCCTCTGGTCTCTCCTTCCTGGGTCTCTCCTTCCTCGGGTCTCTCCTTCCTCGGTCTCTCCTTCATCTGTCTCTCCTTCCTCTGTCTCTCCTTCCTCGGGTCTCTCCTTCCTCGGGTCTCTCCTTCCTGGGTCTCTCCTTCCTCGGTCTCTCCTTCCTCTGTCTCTCCTTCCTGGGTCTCTCCTTCCTCGGGTCTCTCCTTCCTCGGGTCTCTCCTTCCTGGGTCTCTCCTTCCTCGGGTCTCTCCTTCCTCGGTCTCACCTTTCTCTGTCTCTCCTTCCTCTGTCTCTCCTTCCTCGGACTCTCCTTCCTCTGGTCTCTCCTTCCTGGGTCTCTCCTTCCTCGGGGCTCTCCTTCCTCGGGGCTCTCCTTCCTCGGGGCTCTCCTTCCTCGGGGCTCTCCTTCCTCGGGGCTCTCCTTCCTCGGGGCTCTCCTTCCTCGGGGCTCTCCTTCCTCGGGGCTCTCCTTCCTCGGGGCTCTCCTTCCTCGGGGCTCTCCTTCCTCGGGGCTCTCCTTCCTCGGGGCTCTCCTTCCTCGGGGCTCTCCTTCCTCGGGGCTCTCCTTCCTCGGGGCTCTCCTTCCTCGGGGCTCTCCTTCCTCGGGGCTCTCCTTCCTCGGGGCTCTCCTTCCTCGGGGCTCTCCTTCCTCGGGGCTCTCCTTCCTCGGGGCTCTCCTTCCTCGGGGCTCTCCTTCCTCGGGGCTCTCCTTCCTCGGGGCTCTCCTTCCTCGGGGCTCTCCTTCCTCGGGGCTCTCCTTCCTCGGGGCTCTCCTTCCTCGGGGCTCTCCTTCCTCGGGGCTCTCCTTCCTCGGGGCTCTCCTTCCTCGGGGCTCTCCTTCCTCGGGGCTCTCCTTCCTCGGGGCTCTCCTTCCTCGGGGCTCTCCTTCCTCGGGGCTCTCCTTCCTCGGGGCTCTCCTTCCTCGGGGCTCTCCTTCCTCGGGGCTCTCCTTCCTCGGGGCTCTCCTTCCTCGGGGCTCTCCTTCCTCGGGGCTCTCCTTCCTCGGGGCTCTCCTTCCTCGGGGCTCTCCTTCCTCGGGGCTCTCCTTCCTCGGGGCTCTCCTTCCTCGGGGCTCTCCTTCCTCGGGGCTCTCCTTCCTCGGGGCTCTCCTTCCTCGGGGCTCTCCTTCCTCGGGGCTCTCCTTCCTCGGGGCTCTCCTTCCTCGGGGCTCTCCTTCCTCGGGGCTCTCCTTCCTCGGGGCTCTCCTTCCTCGGGGCTCTCCTTCCTCGGGGCTCTCCTTCCTCGGGGCTCTCCTTCCTCGGGGCTCTCCTTCCTCGGGGCTCTCCTTCCTCGGGGCTCTCCTTCCTCGGGGCTCTCCTTCCTCGGGGCTCTCCTTCCTCGGGGCTCTCCTTCCTCGGGGCTCTCCTTCCTCGGGGCTCTCCTTCCTCGGGGCTCTCCTTCCTCGGGGCTCTCCTTCCTCGGGGCTCTCCTTCCTCGGGGCTCTCCTTCCTCGGGGCTCTCCTTCCTCGGGGCTCTCCTTCCTCGGGGCTCTCCTTCCTCGGGGCTCTCCTTCCTCGGGGCTCTCCTTCCTCGGGGCTCTCCTTCCTCGGGGCTCTCCTTCCTCGGGGCTCTCCTTCCTCGGGGCTCTCCTTCCTCGGGGCTCTCCTTCCTCGGGGCTCTCCTTCCTCGGGGCTCTCCTTCCTCGGGGCTCTCCTTCCTCGGGGCTCTCCTTCCTCGGGGCTCTCCTTCCTCGGGGCTCTCCTTCCTCGGGGCTCTCCTTCCTCGGGGCTCTCCTTCCTCGGGGCTCTCCTTCCTCGGGGCTCTCCTTCCTCGGGGCTCTCCTTCCTCGGGGCTCTCCTTCCTCGGGGCTCTCCTTCCTCGGGGCTCTCCTTCCTCGGGGCTCTCCTTCCTCGGGGCTCTCCTTCCTCGGGGCTCTCCTTCCTCGGGGCTCTCCTTCCTCGGGGCTCTCCTTCCTCGGGGCTCTCCTTCCTCGGGGCTCTCCTTCCTCGGGGCTCTCCTTCCTCGGGGCTCTCCTTCCTCGGGGCTCTCCTTCCTCGGGGCTCTCCTTCCTCGGGGCTCTCCTTCCTCGGGGCTCTCCTTCCTCGGGGCTCTCCTTCCTCGGGGCTCTCCTTCCTCGGGGCTCTCCTTCCTCGGGGCTCTCCTTCCTCGGGGCTCTCCTTCCTCGGGGCTCTCCTTCCTCGGGGCTCTCCTTCCTCGGGGCTCTCCTTCCTCGGGGCTCTCCTTCCTCGGGGCTCTCCTTCCTCGGGGCTCTCCTTCCTCGGGGCTCTCCTTCCTCGGGGCTCTCCTTCCTCGGGGCTCTCCTTCCTCGGGGCTCTCCTTCCTCGGGGCTCTCCTTCCTCGGGGCTCTCCTTCCTCGGGGCTCTCCTTCCTCGGGGCTCTCCTTCCTCGGGGCTCTCCTTCCTCGGGGCTCTCCTTCCTCGGGGCTCTCCTTCCTCGGGGCTCTCCTTCCTCGGGGCTCTCCTTCCTCGGGGCTCTCCTTCCTCGGGGCTCTCCTTCCTCGGGGCTCTCCTTCCTCGGGGCTCTCCTTCCTCGGGGCTCTCCTTCCTCGGGGCTCTCCTTCCTCGGGGCTCTCCTTCCTCGGGGCTCTCCTTCCTCGGGGCTCTCCTTCCTCGGGGCTCTCCTTCCTCGGGGCTCTCCTTCCTCGGGGCTCTCCTTCCTCGGGGCTCTCCTTCCTCGGGGCTCTCCTTCCTCGGGGCTCTCCTTCCTCGGGGCTCTCCTTCCTCGGGGCTCTCCTTCCTCGGGGCTCTCCTTCCTCGGGGCTCTCCTTCCTCGGGGCTCTCCTTCCTCGGGGCTCTCCTTCCTCGGGGCTCTCCTTCCTCGGGGCTCTCCTTCCTCGGGGCTCTCCTTCCTCGGGGCTCTCCTTCCTCGGGGCTCTCCTTCCTCGGGGCTCTCCTTCCTCGGGGCTCTCCTTCCTCGGGGCTCTCCTTCCTCGGGGCTCTCCTTCCTCGGGGCTCTCCTTCCTCGGGGCTCTCCTTCCTCGGGGCTCTCCTTCCTCGGGGCTCTCCTTCCTCGGGGCTCTCCTTCCTCGGGGCTCTCCTTCCTCGGGGCTCTCCTTCCTCGGGGCTCTCCTTCCTCGGGGCTCTCCTTCCTCGGGGCTCTCCTTCCTCGGGGCTCTCCTTCCTCGGGGCTCTCCTTCCTCGGGGCTCTCCTTCCTCGGGGCTCTCCTTCCTCGGGGCTCTCCTTCCTCGGGGCTCTCCTTCCTCGGGGCTCTCCTTCCTCGGGGCTCTCCTTCCTCGGGGCTCTCCTTCCTCGGGGCTCTCCTTCCTCGGGGCTCTCCTTCCTCGGGGCTCTCCTTCCTCGGGGCTCTCCTTCCTCGGGGCTCTCCTTCCTCGGGGCTCTCCTTCCTCGGGGCTCTCCTTCCTCGGGGCTCTCCTTCCTCGGGGCTCTCCTTCCTCGGGGCTCTCCTTCCTCGGGGCTCTCCTTCCTCGGGGCTCTCCTTCCTCGGGGCTCTCCTTCCTCGGGGCTCTCCTTCCTCGGGGCTCTCCTTCCTCGGGGCTCTCCTTCCTCGGGGCTCTCCTTCCTCGGGGCTCTCCTTCCTCGGGGCTCTCCTTCCTCGGGGCTCTCCTTCCTCGGGGCTCTCCTTCCTCGGGGCTCTCCTTCCTCGGGGCTCTCCTTCCTCGGGGCTCTCCTTCCTCGGGGCTCTCCTTCCTCGGGGCTCTCCTTCCTCGGGGCTCTCCTTCCTCGGGGCTCTCCTTCCTCGGGGCTCTCCTTCCTCGGGGCTCTCCTTCCTCGGGGCTCTCCTTCCTCGGGGCTCTCCTTCCTCGGGGCTCTCCTTCCTCGGGGCTCTCCTTCCTCGGGGCTCTCCTTCCTCGGGGCTCTCCTTCCTCGGGGCTCTCCTTCCTCGGGGCTCTCCTTCCTCGGGGCTCTCCTTCCTCGGGGCTCTCCTTCCTCGGGGCTCTCCTTCCTCGGGGCTCTCCTTCCTCGGGGCTCTCCTTCCTCGGGGCTCTCCTTCCTCGGGGCTCTCCTTCCTCGGGGCTCTCCTTCCTCGGGGCTCTCCTTCCTCGGGGCTCTCCTTCCTCGGGGCTCTCCTTCCTCGGGGCTCTCCTTCCTCGGGGCTCTCCTTCCTCGGGGCTCTCCTTCCTCGGGGCTCTCCTTCCTCGGGGCTCTCCTTCCTCGGGGCTCTCCTTCCTCGGGGCTCTCCTTCCTCGGGGCTCTCCTTCCTCGGGGCTCTCCTTCCTCGGGGCTCTCCTTCCTCGGGGCTCTCCTTCCTCGGGGCTCTCCTTCCTCGGGGCTCTCCTTCCTCGGGGCTCTCCTTCCTCGGGGCTCTCCTTCCTCGGGGCTCTCCTTCCTCGGGGCTCTCCTTCCTCGGGGCTCTCCTTCCTCGGGGCTCTCCTTCCTCGGGGCTCTCCTTCCTCGGGGCTCTCCTTCCTCGGGGCTCTCCTTCCTCGGGGCTCTCCTTCCTCGGGGCTCTCCTTCCTCGGGGCTCTCCTTCCTCGGGGCTCTCCTTCCTCGGGGCTCTCCTTCCTCGGGGCTCTCCTTCCTCGGGGCTCTCCTTCCTCGGGGCTCTCCTTCCTCGGGGCTCTCCTTCCTCGGGGCTCTCCTTCCTCGGGGCTCTCCTTCCTCGGGGCTCTCCTTCCTCGGGGCTCTCCTTCCTCGGGGCTCTCCTTCCTCGGGGCTCTCCTTCCTCGGGGCTCTCCTTCCTCGGGGCTCTCCTTCCTCGGGTCTCTCCTTCCTCGGTCACATTGTCTGAGATTGATATGAATGATTGTTGGTTCTGTTATCAGTTTGCTGGAGAAGATTGAGCAGGAGACGTGGAGAGAGCCGGGAGCCTCGTTTGTGACCTCGGTGACGCGTCTCATGGAAAGACTGTTGGATTACAGGTACGTCCATGACAGACAGGGGGCCCCCGATCCCCCCAGCATGTGTGTCCCCACCCGTCTACCCCTGAGAGGGGCCCCATATTCTGCACCTTCCGGCCGTCTTTCTCTCTCTAGACAAGAGCGGCCGCGCCGGGGCCAATGGGTCCTACAAAATGACATCCTGCAATATGTCGCCACCGATTATCGGTGTTCCACGCGCCGCGCCGATACCAATCTGGTATTCTTTTTGCTCCTATTCCAGGGACTGTATGAAGGGGGAGGAGGCCGAGAATAAGAAGGTCGGTTGTACAATGAATCTGATGGTGAGGAGCACTGGTGGCGTCTATATCATATACAGTGTACACATTGCAGTGTGTTTCTATGTAACCGGCTGTAGCTATATGTGTGTCAGTCTCGGCACGGTGCTGTGTGTGTACATGGTGCTGTGTGTGTACATGGTGCTGTGTGTGTACATGGTGCTGTGTGTGTACATGGTGTTGTGTGTACGGGGGGGGCTCG